CCAACAGCACTGCAGAGCAGCATACTTTCCGTGGTTTGTAATCGTTCCTCCACCGCTCCAGCGGTATATCGTTCCAGCGAAACCCGTGTACATAGATATAGGCGCGTTAATGAACTCCCTATTCTCAATCTCTCCGGAGCCCTTCACTACGGCGTCTGTCATAATCATATTGTGGTTTTCGGACGTTGAAACGAATCAATTATTATTGCAGTGTTTGTGCCCTCAGAGTCTGAGATAGCAGCCTCAGATGAGGTCAGTGCTAGCTATATGTAGTTCAGTACTTTCGGCTGCAGTCAATTTAGCAGAGTAGATGGATTATCTAGTAAAATTGTACGCATTAACACCGCGGTGACGTCTAAGAAGAAAACGCAGTGCAGTTCGTAGCTTTATAGAGTTCTAAGTCGTGCTGGAACTTCGTCATAACTAAGTGGCACGAGATCAAAGTTATTTTGTTACATACGATATTTGTTGTAAATGTAGAAATATACATTTGTTTTGTAGAAAACAATGTATATGTAGAAACAATGTATATGTGCAAATGTAGAAATATACATACAAATGTAGAAATATACAGAAATATACATTTGATATTTGTTGTAAACGTAGAAATATACAAAAATATCACGCGTGAATCTTGGAAAGAAAAAAAAAGAATTATTGAAGGCCCCAAAAACACTATAAACGATGTAATCCTCACCAGTCTGCTTACGTCATTTCAAGCTAAGCAGACCGAAACATGAAAAGGTGAAATCGTAAATTCGTTTGACGGGAAAGGCATGCGGTCACGTTTATTTTAAGGAGGACGTTGCGAAATTTTACGCCAAAGTTTTAACGTCACAGTCAAACTTCGAAAAAAGAAATGTGGTTGTGAATTATCTTTCAGTAATCATTTTCAGTTTTAAGCTCCACGCAAACCAAACATTTCTTCGTTATCGGCATAAGAGGGCGCATGGTTGCCATTCAGGGGCGGAAGGGGGAGAGGGAAAGTGAAAGCTCGTTGCAGCGTCCTCCATCCCTATTATGTATTATGTCAATGTAAGGCCCTTGGGTGACTGAGAGAGAGAGGGAGCATCCGCACGCCTGCGGTCTTACGCGATATCGCGATAATGGTTCGCGTTTTTGATTTCGTTATAAAAATAATAAATGTCGCTGAAATCATGTGGGACCAACGAAAGCTCGCATTTGGTTTGCCACAAACGATAATTACCTTCATCAGTATTCGTTATCACAAGGTTCAGCTGGCAAATTATCCGTTAAAGCGAAGTAAATGTTAACATTGGTTGGTTATGTTTAACTTAAAGCGTTTCTTAATTTCATTTTATTCTCTTAACGAAACCGAACACACGAGGGCCGCCGCGATATCAGCTGTAGCGAGCAAATATTCGGTTCGCGCGAAGCTAAACCAAATATTCCCGAGCTGAAAGACAGGAAAAGTGTGGATCGCGTCGTGTTGCCCAACAATAACAGCAGTTAGATATGTGGGGTTTAACGTCCCAAAACCACCATATGATTAAACAATGACAGCAGTTAGCAACGACGAAAGGGACGATGGTAAACTTCGTGCTCCACTGTTGAGCAGCGCACAGAAGTTGCCGACATAGACCCACAGAACACCTATATACTGTGGACCGGGGGCTGGGATGATGTTTCGAGATATTCAAGGCGATAAAGTGTGCTGAAGTAGCGAAATCCCTTTTGCGCAGTCCTGTGAAAAGCCGCCAGAGCAAGGTCACATCCTCCTGCGGGTGAATATGAACGCAAGACTGTTTTTCGAACGACTTTCGTGCTCTTGTAAATTTCACCCTCTCATACTCCGGTATAATGAGTTTGAGACGCCAAATGGAGGAGGTGAGAACTACATATAGTCGCCTGTAACTTGAGAAGTCCGCGGCATTTCCTCCTCAAAGGCGGATGCATACAGGCCTGCACCAATGGGCGTGCACTCCAGGCTGACGTCATGAGCCGGGCGGCTGGGGACCTCGCCGTTGTCGAAGATCACCGAGCGCATGCATGAACGGGACTATTAAAGACGATAATTTTTCTTGGGGACCTTCGACGCAAAATTTTTGGTCTGTCTGTCTGTACATTTGTCTGTTTGTCTACCTTTAACGGTACCCTAAAGGGCACCAAAGTGACCAAATCATACTTCAAACGGCCGACCCCACCCACAGCGCCCACCAATATTACTCAAGGTCCAGCATTCATACTTATGCGATTTTCAATTAAAAGAGCAATTATTGCGGATATCTGAAACACCATAACAACACGTCAATATTATGTTTGTGTATTCTTTTACTAGAAAATGCAAACATAATTTTAAAGATCGTAGCCTTTATAACGCTGCGCTGGCCATGCAACGCTTGCACGAAACGGCGAGTGTTTCCAGCGCTTTGCTAAGACGACACGGTGGTGGCACCTACCCGTCGCCTTGCGTTCTACACCTTATCACCTCAGAGACGGGCGCGCAAGGCGCGCGTCCCGTTTTCCAGGATACCTGCCAGATAGCGCTCACGTGTGACGTGATTTCCTGCGCTCGTTCGTCTCCGCTGCACGCTCGAGGCACTCTAACGCAGCACCTCCAGAAGACCATTCACCGATTTTGTTACGCAGAACATCAAATAAACGTTTTGTTCACTCTCTCCAGACGCAAGACTATCGTCTTCCGACGACATTTGCGGTGTAACATGCAGATACGGGGCCAATTTTTTTTCTGTGGCAGAAGCGATCAGCTGCTGCGCTTCAGTCACCAGGATGGGGATTCTCCGGACTTTTTAAAATGTTTACGACTATAATTACAGGGGGTTTACAGCCTATGATAATACAGTTACCTATATAAGATTGTCGAGTGAGATCATCGATTTGTTAATTTTTATTTCTACTTTACGACGAACACGGATATAACAAACTGATTTATCGTCCTGGTGCTAGTTCGTTACAACGAGGCTGAACTCTGTATTTATCTACGTCATTTACACTGACAATCATAAGGTCCTGAGAGAAGCTCGCAAGAGATGACCCGGGTGAACAAGTCATAGTTGACGTGTGGGTTGAGACAGCGTTTATTCAGCTTAAGGGCTCAGCAGCAAACAGCCAGTTTGAGACAGAGCGCGCACACAGACAATGATGATTGGTGGTAACATCCATGCAGTGAAGATGAGGACAGAGACCCAAACGGATGATGACGATTATGATAACGCATATATGAGAAGAAGCACATAACGATTGTCCACACTAAACAATTCGATACAGAAATGTCAAGCGATTGAAACGGCATATTGAGGACCACTATAAAAGAAAACATATATATCTTATCTAAGTTATACGCATTGTACACGTGGTACAAAAACATAACGCAAACACTACAGTTAAGGCCGGCGTGCGAACAAATGGGACTTCGTGTACTTTCGCTGTGAAGTCAACGTCATCTTATCAAATACATCACCCAATCATTGTTTTCAAACACATGTAATTGTATCCTCGCATGTCATAACTCGCTGTATATTGCTACGCCTTTCTACGAATAAATGAGCTGAATGTTTACCGCCCATGTTGTAGTACCTCCCTCTATCCTCGTCTTTTTTGTGCGGCTAGGATGTCAAACAGCAAGCACCAACTGGACCAAACCCAAGTTCTCTTGATCATTCAATCACTTAGTCCATGAGCAATGGATCTTTATTTCCTCGTACATCAAAAATACAATCATGATATACTTATTCAGGCGGAGGTCTCATAGCACATGTTTGAAAGGACACCTCTTAAATTACGCTGGGGAGTCCACAATTCGCAGCAATAAGCACTACTTGCAAAATAAGGTACCCGACCTGCTGTTTCGCAGCTTTATGATGAAATGAAGTAGTCAGTCGGGTTTAAATATGCAAGGTCACTTGCGGGTTGCTTCGACTGCAATATTTTTAAGGACGCTGCGGGAATAACGCTGCTTTCACGTGTCTTCACGACGCAGCTCGTAGTTAGTGCCCGCCTCTACCGGTGCCGCTGGTGTCCATGTATATGTTCGAAGAAGCGTTAAAATTCGAAGTGAATATCATTTGGTCCGCAGGCAGCTGGAGCGGGTACACCTGCGTCAAGGAAGGATGGAAGACAGGATAGACAGAAAAAGCGGAGATGTTAACCAGTTCGGAATAGCCGGTATGCTACTTTTATCGCGAGAAAAAAGATAGGGTAGATTGAAAGAAGGACAAAGAGAAAGAGAGGGGGAGCGCACACAGGGTTGCCGTCTTGTGCGGTATACAACATCACTATCAGTCTGCAACCGCTCGTGTAAGTATAAGGAACGAGACAAAGTAACGCGTTGCTACCCAGTGTAATATCATACAGGGCGGATAGAAGATCGCATAACGATTATTGTTAAATTATTCATTTTCTCTCTTCCGCGGAGGTCTCAGCAGAATTTTGCATATGCGTATGACGTCGGTCACCTACTCACGAAGAGTGGATGATCGAAAAGGAAGAAAACATATCTTGCTGAACACCTCGAATATCATTCCAGCTCATTAGCCTGGAAAGTACCCTTATTTATTCTCAAAGAAAGTACCTCTCAAAATCAAGCGAAATGATGTGCTTATGCCGACACAGAATTCCTGCAAAATGATAGCCGTCTTGAAAGTAGGGAAAGGAGTGAGTGAATGAGTGAGTTGAGCAGATAAACCGCGAATGGGCAAATACGAGCCTACACACAACAATTGATCTCTGAAACGAAAAATGTGGCGAAGAATATTGACATTAATTCTTAGGTGTTAAAGTTTCAAAACCACAATATGATTACGAGGGACGCCATAATGAAGGTGACGATAGTTTATTTATTTATTTTATTTATTTAACAATACTGTCAATCCCGTCAGGGATTTTTACAGGAGTGGGTTGGAAAGTGCCAACAAATATTCTATATTCACATACTTATACAATTTTCTGGGTACAAAAAAATCATGGTATAAAATGATAACAATTATGGACCTACATTATTAACGAGGCACATGTCTCAGTCACATGTGCATACACTGAAAAAAAAACACAAAAAAGAAAGAAAAAGGTAAGCACGCAACATACAAAGTTGGTACCGACTTCCACCTTTTTGAACCACGAATGTACTGGCAGGGAGGACAATGATCAGTACAATCCTGATAGCGTCGCTATCATGTAGCTGATAGAACGGCTTCGCCAGCAAGTTCGTAAAATTTGTTGACAGTGGGCTGCACAACCACCGTCTCGGGTAAAGCATTCCACTCTCGCACTGCCCGCGGGAAAAACGAAGAACTCAATGTATTGTTGGTGCATAAATATTCTTGCAGTGTATAAGGTGATGCTTGTGACGGGTTTCTCTAGACGTGTTGAAAGAAATGTATACGTGTTCGAATCTACTTTAAGTTTGTTGTGTAGGATTAGGCACATAAATTTGAGTCGGGATAGCATCGCACGACTGGCTAGCGTGTGAAGGCCAATATCTGTCAGCATTTGCGTAGGCGAGCCGGCGCGCCTATATCTGTTACAGATAAAACGCGCGGCTTTGCGCTGGATGGCCTCAATAGTGGCTATGTGTTTTTTGGGTAGACGGGAACCATGCCACGCTCGCATATTCTAAGATAGGGCGTATAATTGTCGCATAGGCCAAGAGCTTGGCCTATGCGACGATTATACGCATCGTCGACGATGTTTCTTTGTCGACGATGCGACAAAGAAACAAGAAGGTTCGTGTCCTTCTTGTCTTTTTGATGTCGTTCTGTTCTCGCGCTTTAACTATCGTCATGTCATACCGACGAGCCCGAACTGCCACAAGTTACGCAGGGCTGCGGCAATTACGAGTACCGGAGGTTCTTTAAAGTGCACCTAAACACAAGTGCACGGGCCTCACGAATTTACGCCTCCGTCAAAAATACGACAACCGCGGCAAGGACAAACGACGCGAAGTATAGCCCAACACAATTTTAAAAAGAAAATAAATAAGATACTCTGCACATGCACTCCAGCGCACCCATAGCCTCATGCTGGCATCAATCAGTGCTATAGTGAACAAGTACAGTCGGGCGAAGAAGCTGATAATCATCAGCCTGACTATACGCCCACTGCAGGTAAAGGCCTCTGCCATATTTCTCCGATCAATCCTGCCTTATGCTTGCGGTGGTGGCGTTATCCCAGCAAACGTTTTTAATCTCATCAGATCATCGAGCTCCATGCCTCCCTATAGCGCGTTTGCCTTCTCCTGAAACCTAGTCCGTTACTTTTAACAACCAGTGGCTATCTTTATTTCGTGCTACATGCCCTGTCCGTATGCCCATTTCTTCTTGATTTCTACTAATATGTCCTTAACATCCACTTGTTTTCTGACCCACCCTATTCTTGCCCTTCAGATTACACCTATCACTTTCTTTCCATGGTTCACTGCTTCGTCCTCATTTTTAGTTGCACCTTCTTCGTAAGCCTTCGAATTTCTGCGCCATATATAACTACCGGTATGATGCAGCTATTCCTTTCTCTTGGGGGATAGTGGTAAACATATTTTCATGATTGTAACATTATCCAAGCAGTTTTTATAAACGCCTCACCGGAGCAACAGATGCCGGAGGAACAGTTTCCAAGAAGCCCAAGCTTTGGCTGTCTTGCTGTTGCTGTCGGTGTTGTTGCTCCTGCTGTTGCTGTCGGTGTTGTTGCTCTTGCTGATGTTGTTGCCGTTGTTGTAGCGACTGCTGCTGCTGCAGCTGCTGGGTCTTCGTTTGCTGCATAGGGTCCCTCGGCTGCAGGGCGTTGCCCATACAACCAGCGGGCCCCGTGGCCAGCAAATAGGGCGTCGGCGTCAGCGCGGTCGCTGGACCGGCCATCGTTGACGTCGGCACCGACAGCGTCGTCGTTGGCAGGGACAGCGTGTAAAGGGGAGCATTGCCACTCTGCAGGATTACGGTAGTGTGTAAGAGAGAAATGAAGATAACAAATAGTTTATTGTGCCTTTAGGAACACTTTAGGAACAAATGTAGTGCGAGAAATTTAAAAATGTAGGTCATTCAAAATACGAAACAGCGAGGAAAGGCACCCCAATCAGCACTTGTGACACGTCTATCCTGTTTCACGTTTCTACGGTGCCACAATCACAGGACTGCGATAACTACCGTCTACTCTGTGTTTCATCCTTTGACTGGTTCTAATTCTCAAGAATATATACTAACTGGCCCAAATCACAACTCTACTGTGGATATACTAGGGGGCTGAGGTTCTGGACTCACATGCAGCATCATTAGGCAGATGTTTAGAAAGAGTTATAAGGCGTGCCATAGAAATCGGTCGCGTACCGTCACAGTGGCTGCCAGGTTGGGATTGATGAAGTGCACAAGCATCAGCTGCTCGGAGACCCTCCGCAGTTCCTCCTGCTGCCTGATGATCTGTTGCTGCAATGTTTGGTGCCTGCGCCGGAGATAATCCTGGAACTGGTCCTGCTGCGGCTGTTGCCCACCGGCATGTTGCTGCTGCTGCTGCTGCTGCTGCTGCTGCTGTGGAGGCAACGGTGACACCTGCCCCGGTGGTTGCGATTGCATGGACCTTGGGCTGATCTGCTGATTGTTTTCCAGGCACGCCGAAGAGGTTCCCCGGTTGCAGCACCTGTCGCGGCCGTTGCTAAGGTGAGGCTGTATTCAGACCACACCTGTAGAACAGCGCACCTTATGAGGAACTTCGAATAGACATGCACACCAGGTGTGGCTCTTCTATAGGCCGACGTGTCGTCGCCGCTGCTACAGCGTTTCAAGATTGAGCTCGCGTGTCTGCTGCGTCAGCTCAATGCGAAATTCTGCTCAAGATATTTTGTACATCTACAGTAGTGAACGGTTCGTTCATGCATACGTCACTAATATTCGCGTAGTGACAACAGATATTTTCGCTGTGCGGACGCCTAATGGAAGAACTGAACATGACCTCATTCCGATTGGCTGACGTCTTTTAGGAGTCACCATTTTCTTACGTTTGTGGCATGATGGCATAAACGCCCCATTTTAAAGGTAACCTTTTCGTCTACATTAAACTTGGTGAGAAACGCCAGGTCTGCGTGAAAGGCGCAGCGCAGTCACAGGGAAAGCTAGAAGAGCGGCCTTTCAGAGCATTTTCAAAACACTCATTGGGCAACTACTGCAAGCACACTTGATTGATACCCACTAGGGCATTAATAATAATTTTTGGTAGTATGACGACATTCTCTATACTATTTAATGTCATTCTTCTGAGAAGCATGGTATCCGCTAAGCACTCGCAAGGAATTTTGTGTCAATTGTCCATGCAGCGACTGACGAAGACGAGGAATTATGGCTGAAGTGGCTATGCGTCACAGTTAATGAGGAAACAAGAACAAGCTTTCTTAATGGTTGGAGCATTGGACGGCCCACTCGTTACGCTATTCGCATTTTTCAACGACTGGTTGCTCTTTCGCTGTTTTAAAATGCTTTATAGGTCGTATTAACGCGATTGCTTTACCGACACTAAGCATGCCTTAGGCAAGTTTACCAACAAGTCACAAGAACCGGCTTATGGCTCAGTGGTGAAACACTGAACTGGCACCCAGCGGACCCGGGTATGAGCCCCACTGTATCTCTAATGCTATGATTTTTTTATATAAATTTCCCGCGATGTGGTTACGGACACGGGCGGTGGCGGACAACTGCGCGTGAGCAGAGTTGTGATCTCATAGCAGCTTTCGCTGTAAAAAAAAAAAGCAACAAACGGAACAAAAGGAGACAGCACGAAGCGTTAACATCTACAGAAAATCACCACCGCAGTTAGACAATGTGTGCATGAGCAAAAGATCTGATCATCAAAACAACAACAGAGCCGAGCTCGAGATAAGATACAATCCGTGACACAACTTGTGAAAAAATTATTCACAAGAATGGCCGAATGATGTGTGATACGCAGCTAACACAGTTCACTCACCGGGAAAATAAAAAAAGACAAAAAGCAACAAGCTAAAATGCAGACATAAACTAAAAAGTGATGCCGAAAGGAAACGCGCCTAAATGAAACGCACTTCTTTATTTAGGATAGCTACAGAAGCGACACTCACGCGCATGGATCCACAATCTTCAATTAGAGTGGCTTCTAAAATCCCTCGTTCCAGTTTGGCGCTTCCGTTACCTACTGCTGAATTCTTCAACCGGAGGAAACATCCGCAAACTTGAGAGCGTCAAGCGAGGTTCGATCCCTCTCCTAACTTCAAGCACCTGCAACATGTGGTGCTCTCGTAGCCGTTGATTAAGGCATACGACCGGTCTACCCCAAGACGACCGAATATGTGTACTATAGACATACCGATGTTCGTGTTTTGTTATGCAGCGTTTACTTGTTCGGGTGTTTGCCAGACGTCTGCACAGTTTTTCTCATTTGCATGATGCGCAAGAAACAAGATCCACCCCATCCCTAGCCGCGACATTTCTCAAGTTATGTGACAATTTGTGCACATATGCAACAACCCTCGTTCGCACCCTTCTTCAGTTAATTGAATCCATACGTCACGGGCGTATGCGTCCACCGCAGCTTCTTTTGGAACTGGTTTTGCGAAGCTGAATTTTTTTTCGCTGATCATCATTAGTCTTTCACTCACGCGCGCATTATCCAGCTTCCGCGATGTTTTTCAATAGGGAGGAGGAACAGGAGGGAAAGGATAGGCAGAGATGTTAACCAGTCTGGAGCGACCGGTATGCTACCCTACACTCGGGATAGGGATGAGGGAGTTTGAAAGATGGGAAAAAAATGAGAGAAAGGAGCGAAATTTTGATGACTTGGAACATAATGACGCACACTAATTGGCGAAAGTCCGAGAAGACGCGGAAATGTTGCCAGCTGTCAGTAGCACTTCATCCTGCGTGTCTCTTCTTTTTTGTTGTGCCGTTCATTGTGCTTCTTTTCACCATGACTGCATCGCCAAATGGCCCCAGTCTCAACTCTTCTAAAGTTTTGTAGAAATTTGAGAGTGACCTAATTGGGAAACCCCGACTTTTCTCGAAACCAGAAAGTAGCTGTCACTCTGAGTATTACAGGTGGGCTTGTTGGCCACCCTTCCCGTCAATGTTGAGAGCTAAACAACCGTATACTGGCGTGACATATAATAATAAAGCTTTATGAATTCTCAATGATATAAAAAAATCTAGCCAAACAATTTTATGAGCTTAGAGACTGTGCAGCTCAAACCACACACGCAGTATTATGAAACATGCATCATTTTTTGATAGCTTCTTATTGAATACTTTTTTCCATCGACGTAAGTACTAGCACATTAAACAACATCTGTTTTAGATTAACTTCCTAACATTTACAATATCACAGCTGCAATAACTGACACAGCCACACGTTAATAAGATGTTTGTGATGCATTTTATACTATTTCCTATGGAGATGCCTGAAAACTATTTCCAGTGCAATCAAGAGGTCGCTTAAAGCTATTTCACTAGCAATCTTGCGTTAAGTAGTGGATACACAGCACAGGGCATATACGAAGAAACAGTATGAAAGTTTAAACCCTGCCGAGTCTGTTGCATGAAGAAAGCCTTGTGAAATAATTATGCGCTGAAGACAGAAAAAAAAAGAAGAATTCCGGCTTGTTTTCGCACAAATATTGCTAAGCTGAAAACGTTTAAATCTGATTGTCTGACGAATTTTTAAAACCCATATAAGCCGAGCTTCTTTGGACTTAGCGCAGTCTGAGTCGACGCCTTGCGCACAGCCTCACCGGATGCAGTCACTAACTTTAGGTGTCTGAGAAAACAGCAATGTACGATGCCTGTTCAGGTAAGCGAAAGACCTAGGTTTCTACACGAGGTAACATATTGACGAATGAAAGAATGGGAGAACGACAAAACCGAAAACAGCAGCACGCACACACTAACACAATCACTGTTATCAGCGCACCGATAAAACGTCTACGCGCAGCGAAATCTCCGCGCTTTCTACCTCACGGACTCGCAGTGACCGGTCACAGAATGGACACGTATACAATGGTACAGACACCGTGTCCCAATCGATTCTCTGCTAAACATGATGCTCGCTTGAAGGTTTGACCGCAAGGCAAAAAGGGTTAATTTTAACGGGGGGTAGGAGCCTCTCGAGTTGTCAGACTAACAACTTTCGAAGGTATAGCCCTTCTCGTTCAACTGGTAAATGGTAAATTAAGCTGACTGACGAAATTTCTCGCAAATGTGGTCGGTGTTGTCACAAATTCTGCCTCTCGAATGATCGTGGAGTGTCACTGCAGCAGACTTAGGCGTGAATGTTGCAATTTTTCTTCAAACTTTATAAGGTTCTAAATAAATCCGCTTGACCACATACAAGTATATATATACTTGTTTGAGGTCAAGTAGAGTACCGAGTGGAAAAGCATTTTAGTGAACATTGGTTCCGCATTCCAATAACGTTTTATGCATTTTAAGGCTTATCCTAGCCTCAAACAAATTATACAACTTTCGCAAATTTTCTATTCTTAGAACAAATCGTAGTGCGAAAGGAACAAAGGTGAAATGAGCAGACGAGACTAGCGTTAGAGTTCTCGTGTCTGCTTTGTTTCTTTTCCACCACGGCTTTTATTTTTTTTTCTGAAGACATGAATCGACAAAACGTTTTTTTTTTTTTTTCTTTAGCAATCTGTGCTCCCAACTTCACCGCCAACATGTCTGCATCACTACGACGCAAGCATGGTTGTTCGGGAAATGAACCTATCGGACACGCAGAGCCAAAGGAAAGAAACGCGCGCATGTCAGACGATCGTCCGTGGACCAAGTGGAAATCTCAACTACTCGCAAGCACACTTCGCCTGCGTTCTCGCCATGCACACGAGGGTTTAAATTTCAACAAAGCCTTGCGGCGCAAGCTTAAACAGCGAACAAAGGAAGATTATTTCCCTTTTTTTGTGCGGCATATTCGTATAGCTATGCTAAGGACTGAAATGACGGGGACGGGACATAGAGTAACGCATGACGCAAGCGCTGACTTTCAACAATGATTTATTGGAAGCACGATCAAATATCTGCACATGAGCTACGGTCACTCGGGCATTCGCAAATGCGGAGCAATCAAGGAATGACAATTGTTCTCGATAATGGCAATGACGGTGCGCTGACACAATCGCGGCCTAACTTACGCGTGCATGGTGGCCGATCCAACAATCAACCGCGAGGCTTCTTGGTTCATTTTTATGTACGTAATCTTTATTTTGGTTCCAATTGATCATTGAGGAAAGGTGTTGCTTGCGTGTCCTGTCCCCGTCATTCCAATTCCGCACTTAACTATATGAAAAGAACATGGACGCAATGAACAGGACGTCCTCTTGTCCCCTTCCTGCGTTCACGCTGTTTTTTCCGCTGTTATAAATTATAAGTTATGCACCAACCATCCCGGCTTCCACCACACGTCCTGTTCAGTGCTCAACTCGACTGTCTATATGATTTGATTGATATGTGGGGTTTAACGTCCCAAAACCACCATATGATTATGAGAGACGCCGTAGTGGAGGGCTCCGGAAATTTCGACCATCGACTGTCTATATAATGACAAAGCATCGCGCGCGGAAAAGCACGAGCGACATCTGCAGTCGCAAATGCGCCACATCTGAGCATGCGCGGCGCCAATGATGTGCCTGCCCTGCAGTTTCCACCCTTCTTTATCTCCGCGGCGGCGATGGCCGCTTTGGCCGTCAAAGTGCTGTCAGCATTACAAAATCGAAATAAAACAACAACAACAAAAAGAAATATTATCGCTTCGTGATATATTACAGCGACAACGGTTTTACTTCGTCTTTCTTCTGTGTTTTTTTGTAGTTTTTTCGCGAAACGCTCAGAGCACTTTCGACGGCCAAAGCGGTTGTTGCATCTGCGGCGATAAGCAGGGATCAGTATTGCGAGGCAAGCACATCACTGGCGCCGCGCATGCTCAGATGCGGCGCAATTGCGACAGCAGATGTCGCCCGTGCTGTTTCGCGCACGACGCTTCGTCGTTGTGAACAGCCGAGTTCAGCACTGTTCATTGTGTTTCTTTGTGTCCGTGTTTGAGTTTGCGCCGTTACGCTTCCTCTAAATATGAATCTTCCTCAACAAGTTCAAATCAAAGGGCTGCTTGCACACGAGGAGGAGGGCGCTGCTGTCAGAGGCGGTGGTTCGCTCACTCGCCTGCACCGCTGCACCCGCCGCCATGCCGCCCTGAGCGGAACCAGTGAAAGTGGCCGCGATTGGCTGCAAAGTGGTGAGCGTGATGAGCGGTGCGTGGCACGCCGTGGTGGTCTGGTACGGCGGCCTCTGGTCCATGGGCTCGTGCTGCAGCTGCGACGATGCCGAAGAGGTCGGCTCCGAGGCGAGCGACAGCGAGTCGCCCCATCGTCGGCGACTCGCGCGTTATGGTGCACGCCTCGGTGAACGGCAGCGACAGCTGGTTGCCGCAGCTTCTGGCACTGCTGCCGTGCTCCTCCCGCAGCACTCCTGAAGAACACGCCATTCACAAAGAAACGCTTGATAGATGACTCAATGGTGTGAGATTGAGTGAAGACAGTTGCAGAAGTGGACAGCCGAGGCGAGTCAATATTTACCATAACTTATACAACGATGTGCCTATCCTTTTTTTCTAATCCACCTCGGTGGTCCACTGGTAATAAAGCTCGCCTCCTCACCTGAATATCGTGGGATCGAATGCCGGTCACGGCAGACTCTTTTTCAATCTTGCTAGGAAGCGCAGCTACTATTATACACTATTACAAAGTGTGTTCTTTGTAATAGTGGCTGCGCTTCCTAGCAAGATGGATCCTTACCAACTGGCCCGATACAATTGTTTATTGAGTTACAATTGTTTACTCTTTTTCGGAGAAGGCAAATGCTGGAGGCCCATGTGCATGTATTTAGGCACGTTAAAGAATCTTAGGTGATCTAAATTTCAGGATCGCTCCGCAAAAGTGTCTCTCACAATCATGTCGTGATTTTGGGACGTAAAACCTCTCAAATTAAGTTATATTGTTACCTACATTTTGTGATAATTGCGGCTAGCTCGTCACCATCGGACGGACTTTTTCGTCTATTTCCTTCATTCTCGTGTACTGACGTGACTCTCCCCTTCTTCACAGTCTGACGCTGCTGGGGGAGCAGCAGTGACAGCATGAGCTAGAACCTGTTTATGGCCTGCCGATGATGCGTAGCGACTTAACGGTGAGCTCGTGTAACTTTTGATAATTGCTGGGTATGCCCTTGTTGACTCCTGCGTCTATGCATGCCGTGCCTCAAACCCTGTACTACAGAGCGTAAAAAGTATGCCCGGGAGCAGTGGCACAATTAATTTTGTTGAAAGTCTACGTTGCGTGCGTCTTGTCTACCGCCCATGTCTTCTTTGTTGAGCAGTTGTACTGAAGTAATGGATAGCCGGGCACGTTGCCAGCGAAATTTCCATAGAATTGTACAGATGGCGCTCAATGAGAGTTGAAACATGACCCAGTTGAAGGGGCCCAGAAGCCTATACACTGTACCACGGCAAACGTGCAATTGGTTTTTGGAAACACTAACTGTTCGAAGCAGTGTTTACCTCACTATGTTTGCTACGTCGGCGCCCCCTTACAGTGATGATCACCTCTTTGACCACGGGCCAGCATGTTGCAACTCACATTGGGTATCTACTGAAAGTGGCATAAACGGTGACGCAGCAACGCTCGCTTGCCTCTGCGCCCTTGCTCACGCCAAGTGGGAGCCCATTCCTTCATCATCTAGCCTACCCAAAAAATAAAGAAATCATGAACGCCACCGACAAATACTCTAGGTGCGCCGAAGCAATGATATATAACGCCTCGGTTGCGATAAGGACCGTCCATTTTTGTTAAATAAAGATTGGTGCTGCTGCGACCGCACAAAGTCAGGTAAGTATATAGTGTCACTACAGTGGCTAAGTTTTGTTTTTTAGTGATTGTAGAAGGTTTCAGATGAACTGTGCTTGAACTCACCGCCGGCGCATCCGGACTTTTCGGACAGGTTGGGCGACAGGCTGTCCCTGGAGCTCACCGAGGGAGCGGAGGACACCCGCGAGCTCTGGTAAGACATGCGGGTTGGCGCCGAGGTCCGAGAGTACGACGCCGCCGGCACTCCGCTGCTTGGCGCAGCCTTGCTGTGAGTCAGGTCCTCGTCGTAGCTTCGGTGAATCGCCAGAGCACGATGACCATGGGAATGCGTGTCACATTTAAAACACTCGTGTGTGTTAGCAAGCCTTAATGGAGAACTCCAGTGCATTTCCGACCGTAGTGAGATAATGTTGTTGTCAAATAGTATTCACAGTCCTGCAATAGCTATAGCGTGGATCCTTTTCCCCAGACACTCGTCAGTAATTTTAATTAAGCAATAAAGATGAGTTAACAAAACATAAACCGAAGCAAGGAGCAACTCCGTCCTCTATCATGGGTATCGGATGACGTCACGAAATCCGTTACACACCGCCACGGCTGGCCAGGGTGTAAACATAGCTCACGTGCCTCTTCTAACGCGCGCAAAGCAGGTTGGCGATGTCATCCGACGCGGAATCAAGCTGTGCCAGCTCGTCTGAACTTACCAGTGGTAACTTCAGTGATCATTGCAGCTATATTTGAGCGCAGAAGCATCACCTTTTCGTGTTCACCCGCCGGCGCGTTAAGCATCTTACGTGCCCTTAATCAATGTCCATGTTGCTCAATATTATGCGTGCAAGGCCCGACGTCAACGACGACTAACACGCTGTCTGCAGCTGAAAAAACTGAACTGTGCTCGTGTCGACGTAACCTCGTAGAAGACAGCGCACGCTGCATATGTCTGCTAGCCAAGGCGGGTGCATTGAAACTACTTGTTAAGACACAACTGGCCCGAAAAACGGAGCTTATTTCACATATTTTTTTTAAATTATACCGCTACATACCTTTGGAGAATTGTTAAATGTATACCCGCAGAGTATGTAAGGTGAATGTTTTCCTGTCCTTTAACTTTCCTTTCCCCACATCTGTTTTACATACCACTTTTCTCTTTCTACAAAGGCGCTGAGCCATGCCTCACCCTTTAGGGGCCTTGTATACCCAACAACCACCTATATGAGGGGGTGCTGGGTAAATCCGGGTCAGATAAAGCAGCGCCGCCTAAAACGTAGCGTTGGTTTACTCCACGCGCGAGCATTTTTTACTGCCAGTGCCGATCGTAGTGGTTTTAGGAATCGTAGTGAAAGCTGAGAGGGTTTAGAGGCACCGGTGACGGCCGGCACGTTTGGCACGCTCGTTTCCAGACAGGTTAAGCATCACCTCATCTAGTTCACTGCGTGACTGCTATAGACGCGACAGTTTCCTTGATTCCTAAGTTTCCACTAGCTTCTGTCTTAAATGAAGCTGTGGCTACCGATTTCGTCACCAATTTTTTTTTCAATCTGGCTGATAATGTTGGAAGTGAAAAATCTGTTTCGTGTACCCTCAACAACATACCTCCTGTCCGTAAACGGCGACACGCATTGCTAGACCGTTTCGAATTTACGAGTTCACAAACGTTAGCGCTCATTAACTCTCCATAGTGAACATCCAACACAGGTACAGAACGATGGCCTACCTCATAACGGTGTGGGTGCACACAACGAATTCAGGCTTGGAGCTCCACTGGTGGTAGGTGATGTAGTAGCGCGTCTGCAGCCAGATCCACTGCTGGCCCTTGGTCAGAAAGCGGTAGTGGCAGGACGTGCCCTCACCCGTCTGCATCACTGGCAGCAAGAGCACTCAGTTGATCACCCCAGACACAGAACGATTTCCGGCGCATCCTAATAAGCTAAAACCGTTCATAGCAAATAAGTTAATCACTAAACCGTACGGGCCTCTTGACCCGCCGCCACTTTTTCGAGGTCCTCGACGTGGTAGTAGTCGTAGCCAGATGTTCCGAGAACCTCGAACGGCAGGTACCCGATTATGGGAGGTGCCCTGTAAGAGAGCGAAAATTTGCGTAAAGGCGACTGCGGTTCGCAATGCATCATCATAAAGTTGGCCATAACATGACGCAAACAATCATCAGAAACATTTTAATACCACTCGAGGTCGACTTTATTCTTTGGATACATCTGTCTGCAGCAAGCTAATGCAATTTCTTTCATGTCGTCTCGCCACAAATATTTTTATTTCAATTCTGACTGATTTTTTTCCTTCCCTTAGAGCCAAATAATTAACTAGATATTATAGACAAATGGTTATCTTTCCTCTGCCCAATAAGTGACCTTCCCAGCTGCAGAAACACTTCTTAATTGCAATTAACATCGGCTACCCTGTTTACTATCTCTAAGCCTCTCATCCACTATTCTGACATCACGCCTAGTTATGATTTGCCCAACGTTTCTCGCTCTATTGCTCACTGCGCTGTCTTCATCTCCTGAATATTTTTTTTAACCTTCCTGTTTACTCTGCATATGTGAGTTCAGTCAGAATGAAAATATTAGGACACGTACAGCTCGTGATATATGAGAATAATTGAAAATTCTGCAACTATAGTATAATCAATTTAATAGGGACCGCATTTCTCGGAAAACATATTTACTTTTAGGCACGTTGTGGTGTTCGACACACTAGAGCATCGACTCCGTAGATACCCGTTCTTCTACTTTATATAGTGGTTCTCCTGGCCACTTCTCACTGTGAAAGTGGCTGTTTTTCCAATATTTTTATTCATTTATTAATACAGTTCGGAATTTTTTTTCTCTTTCATGTCTCTTCGATAGGGGAACAGAAAACAGGAGAGAAAGGAAGGGAGACGCCACCTGTGGTCCAGGAAGAGGAACTTCCACTCGAGGCTGTGCCTCGAGCTGAACTCGTTCCTCGAGCCGTCGCAGAGGATGAGCTCGTGCATGAGCTGCGGCGTCTGCAGCCGCACCATGGCCACCAGGCAGGGCGCCGCCAGCTCGGCCGAGCCCGTGTTGGGGGAGCACGCGCTGCTACAGCTATTCGAGTCGTACTCCAAGCCGCCCAGGGGAAAGCCTGCTCGACAATACGCCAAAGCCTTACGTGCCTAACCACCAAAGAGGCGGACTTCATGCCTTCGGGTAGTATGCGAGAGATCATTTTCTCAGCTGCCATCTCGTAAAACGTGCCTGATGACGTCATGTTCTTCGTGATGTCAGCAGGCAGAAAAAAGAATGTTCCAAACTGGCCGTCGCGCCTAGGAGAAGTAGTGATTAACACTCCCATGTGTAAATGCGATGAGGTGGGTGGGAGTATGACCGCCACCGTCGCTCAGTCGGTGCGGGCATCGTAAAAGTTATTGGACGTTGAAGGCAACGCTTCCCCTTCATTCAGTTAAAAATAATTACGATGAAATAGCAATTAGGCATTCCCAAACCATACCCAATTACGCAACATCCACGCGATATACCCTAACACTCTGTGACACATTCATTCGAGTTCTCCTCGTGGAAAGATGCGGTCGGGGTTTTTTTTTTGTTAGGTTATGTTGGCATAAACTATTTCGACCTCCGACCATGTCATCGGGTGCAGTCACGACCCCAATGCAACCGCTGACAGGGTCGAGCCAAACTGAACACACTCAGAATGAATCTATCAACCGAAATCACCTCAGGTTATCAGGTGTCCGTGAATATAAGTTAAGAAATTCAGTTTGAGCGGGGCTTCAACTCTTTTCGCCTTTCACATGAATTGCCTCCTCAGCTACAAGCTAGAAAGACGTTTGGAATGGTAACGCTTAACAAACAACGTATTTCTTTCAACACAGAGGGCGCCAAAGGCCTACACAGCGAATATGGTTGTAGCAAGAGGGTCTAAAAATTGTTGGGGCGGAAATTAAAGCCTCAAAAGTGAAGCCCTGCTTCCCCAAAAAAGTGGCGGTCACCGTTTTATTAGTAGGGAAACGATAAAACATTAGCGTCTGCCGCGAAGAAAAGGAAGCCTCTTCCTCCCGCGTCGTAAAAGCTCAGTATGGCTTTTTTCTTTGTCTTTGTCGGACAGATACTGTAAACATGTGCGTTTGTGTTACTAGTTTTCTTGAGAAACCTGAAGGCCAAACTTTATTGGGTATAAAGACATCAATACATATCGATATGTTATTTTCGTCAATAACGCCCCGCCGCGGTGGTCTAGTGGCTAAGGTACTCGGCTGCTGACCCGCAGGTCACGGGTTCGATTCCCGGCTGCGGCGGCTGCATTTCCGATGGAGGCGGAAATGTTGTAGGCCCGTGTACTCAGATTTAGGTGCACGTTAAAGAACGCCAGGTGGTCAAAATTTCCGGAGCCCTCCACTACGGCGTCTCTCATAATCAAACGGTGGTTTTGGGACGTTAAACCCCACAAATCAATCAATCATTTTCGTCAATAACAACGATAATGCCACACTGCTTTCTCAAGATTTTGTTTTCGCCCCACTACACGTGTGAGTGCTGCCTTACGCAAACTGTATTGATTGACATGAATGCAAGATGTTTCAGCGCGCGAACAAAGGAAAAAGGACAGGGTAGACAGAAAGAGCGCTGACTTCCAACTAACTTTATTTCACAGAGTGGCAAGAATATATACTGCTAAAAAAGGATGATAACAGAGCATGAAGGTAAAATGCACCCTAATCTACACATCAGTAACAACACACGTGTGACAGGTCCTCTATTGCCTCAAAGCCGAGCTAGGTAATCACGTTCAGCCTGTGATAAAGCAATCGATGATGTGCTTACACATTTATCTCCTAGCAAGTGTATTTTTTCGGCTTCAATAATTTCTCGGGTAAGCTGATCCCTGTGCCTTGCCAATATGGAGCACTGATCAAAGAGAGGTGTGCACCCACAATCTCGGCAATGAATGCCAAGATGCCCTTGTACCACATTGTGCACATTGTTTCGGTGTTCTCGGAGGCGGTCATTTATGCACCTGCCGGTTTGCCCGACATAGATGCACCCACACGTCAGTGGAATCAAGTAAACGACTCCCACTGCGCATGGGACGTAGCGTGTCCTGTGCGCGACAGAGCACGAGGCAGAATTTGCACGAGGTGCATTGACCCGTTTGCAAAGCCTCTGCAATTTTTCCGGGGCAGAAAAAACCACAAAAACGTTGGCGTCTCGAGCAATCTTTTTTAGCCTGTGTGATACGTCGTGCACGTAAGGCAGTACGACAGGCCGGCTCTTTTTGCCACTGTTTCGCTTATCCGGTTTGTCGCCTCGCTTCAAGACAGTGACCAGCTTTTCCGCCACCGAAACGAGAACATGCGCGGGGTAACCAGCTTTGGTAAGCCGCTCTACTTGTAGAGCAAAGCTGTGGTGTACCATGTGGGGGCATGACTTCTTTAAGGCATTGACAAGGCAGAGGTTAGCGATGCCCCGCTTGACCAATTTAGAGTGAGCTGAGCTGAAAGGCAGAAGAGGCTTGCCGCTCCTTGGCTCATACATCCAGCAAACATGTCGGGAGTCTAACAAAAGCTTCAAATCTAGAAACTTCAGGTTGTTATTAGTGGGTGATTCATGGGTTAGAACTGCTGGAATGCTGGATGTATGAGCCAAGGAGCGGCAAGCCTCTTCTGCCTTTCAGCTCAGCTCACTCTAAATTGGTCAAGCGGGGCATCGCTAACCTCTGCCTTGTCAATGCCTTAAAGAAGTCATGCCCCCACATGGTACACCACAGCTTTGCTCTACAAGTAGAGCGGCTTACCAAAGCTGGTTACCCCGCGCATGTTCTCGTTTCGGTGGCGGAAAAGCTGGTCACTGTCTTGAAGCGAGGCGACAAACCGGATAAGCGAAACAGTGGCAAAAAGAGCCGGCCTGTCGTACTGCCTTACGTGCACGACGTATCACACAGGCTAAAAAAGATTGCTCGAGACGCCAACGTTTTTGTGGTTTTTTCTGCCCCGGAAAAATTGCAGAGGCTTTGCAAACGGGTCAATGCACCTCGTGCAAATTCTGCCTCGTGCTCTGTCGCGCACAGGACACGCTACGTCCCATGCGCAGTGGGAGTCGTTTACTTGATTCCACTGACGTGTGGGTGCATCTATGTCGGGCAAACCGGCAGGTGCATAAATGACCGCCTCCGAGAACACCGAAACAATGTGCACAATGTGGTACAAGGGCATCTTGGCATTCATTGCCGAGATTGTGGGTGCACACCTCTCTTTGATCAGTGCTCCATATTGGCAAGGCACAGGGATCAGCTTACCCGAGAAATTATTGAAGCCGAAAAAATACACTTGCTAGGAGATAAATGTGTAAGCACATCATCGATTGCTTTATCACAGGCTGAACGTGATTACCTAGCTCGGCTTTGAGGCAATAGAGGACCTGTCACACGTGTGTTGTTACTGATGTGTAGATTAGGGTGCATTTTACCTTCATGCTCTGTTATCATCCTTTTTTAGCAGTATATATTCTTGCCACTCTGTGAAATAAAGTTAGTTGGAAGTCAGCGCTCTTTCTGTCTACCCTGTCCTTTTTCCTTTGTTAGCGCGCTGAAACATCTTGCAAATATGACTACGCACCAACTAGCCCAAGTTTCCACTCTTGTGATTGACATGAAACCATCGAGATTATCTTAGAACCTTCCTACTCAATTTCGCATACAACGTGAACATTACAAATTCTTATGGAACCTACGTAACCGCTGGTGATAACGCTGGGATATTCGACGGCACATGTATAAATGCCGACGCGCGTCACCGCTTGTCAGTTTATCGACGGCTGACGCTCTGTTCGTCGTTACAAGTGTCAATGTGCATCACTGTAATCTGACTTTTCGTTTACCAGCCACAATTTCGGCCAAATAAACAGTCTCATTTTGAACAAGCGGTCTCTGTCTTCGTCAGCGTCACGACCCTGTGACAGTATTAACGCGATAGCGTTAGAGAGCTCGTGTCGCAGAAAACCCGCCACCAGCGTCGGCTCTGTTGGGTGTCAGCGAAAAATCGTCTCTGCGTCTGTGACACGATCTGTGACCGAAAAATCAAGTTACCGAGATAGCCGCGGGAGGCCGCTAATTGTCCACGCGAGCGCGTGCGATCACAGTAAAAAAAGCCGCACGTTCGAAGAAATAAAAAAGTGCTCAAGGTCACGAGGCGTGGTAGTTTCTTTGCCCTGCCACCCCTCCCTGCTTAGCTTCCAGCGCTTTTGTCGGGACGGGAGAAGAGATAATGCAATTGCAGCATGCGACAAACCTTTGTAACTCCACTCACACTGGACGGGTTCTGAAAATTTTTGCGCCGTTGAATTCGTGAGGCAATAAGCTATTCTAGTGAATTAATTCTATGGTTTTTTGAAAAAGTGTTTCAGGGTCCCTTTAACGCATTTAGTTCGACAGGTGTCACGACGAAAACGAGCCCATTCGGCGATAATATAGCGCGCACTGGTCCAATCTATTGTGTGCGTGTTTGCGTGCGCGCGTGTGTATGTAACAAAACATGTTAATAAGTATGTACTTAACGGTTGAAGGTTGCACAAGGGGCCTGATTACGCTATTGCGTTCAACTCTTGAAGGCGAAGCTTAATGGTCCCCCAATTTTTTTTTATTCGATATTTAACCTAGCGTCCACATTAGCAGAGAAAAGCTGCTTGACCTGTAAGCGGGTGCCACACGAAAAGAAAGCGTTTTCGAGGGTAACGAGAGAGTGGTTCGGGAAAGGAGACATGAAAGGGTCGCTATATGCTACCTCCCGTCGCGGGGCACGGCTCAGCGCCTTTGAGAATGGGTAAGTATATAAAAAAAGTAGTGATGGAGAGCGGAAGCTGGCTCCACTTTTAATGGTTCAGCATGGCCTTACTCGAAAGCTTCTTCAACCTTTCTGGACTGTAAGCAACGCCACCGATAACAAAACGCGCTTTTGCATAAAGCGGTCGTCCGTGTGCAATCAATAAGTGTCATTGGAGCTAACATTTCGAAACGGTCCCTGCCCGAGACGAGTCCGATGCCAAAACGTCGCCTTCAGCATCATATATTGCTTTAACGCTACTGATCCCTTCAGATCTTTCTTGTGAAAGTTCGTCTCGCGTGCCTTTACGTTGCTTAAGAAGCGACTACTCATCGGGAACGCCCTATAGGTTGCCTGGTCCTCGATAATAAACCGCCGTTACGGGAAGGCTTTACTGGGACGCCCAATTGCAGATCTCGACTAGAACTTTCCTAGAAGGTTTCACAAAGTAATTCTCATTCTGCAATAGCCCTCTCGGAGGGGAACATTTAAGGGTTGAGCAATGAAACTTACTCACCCTCTCCCACAGCAGTTAAGAACGTTCCTTTGAGGTTCATTGGTTCGTATCTCACATTTGAGTCTGTTGAGCCAAGGCTCCTCTCTTCATATAAAGGTCCACACTCACGAACGTTTCTAATGACAAGAAGAAAAAAAAACGCATTAGGGACGGTGTTGAAGCTGTCCTTCATCGAGAGCTTTCCGCACTTCTCAAATATATTATTAGAAATCTTAAACCTCATTCAAATGAGGTCAATGACGTATAGAAAGAAAAACTGAGTTCAAAAAACAAGAAAAACATGAAACCAGAAACTTTGTTCCAAATTTGTAATTACCGGGGTATACGATATGTTACTAGAATCGCCCCACAATCATTCAGTGCTTACATGACCATACCATGCGTGCCGTCTTGGCGAATTATGCCGGCTCCTTGCGAAGATGCAGAACTGAGTACTTCGCACATGGTACCATGATCGCTTTCGTGTAAGATGTCCAAAATGAATATGTTATGCAGCTCGTGCTAAAAGAAAAAAAAAGAAGGGAGACAATGCCGTGAGTACGGTTTCAAAGCACAAATAAAGTTATCATGAAATACTTGCGCTCTGCTCGAAGGCAAGTACACAACCTCACATTCCTACCATGAAAACTTCCATGACTTAAGATGGGATTTCTATCCGACATGGCCTATGACAAAACACTTACGTATATGCTTACCCCTACGCCACAATTGACTATATATTAGCGAGTATATCTCGGAGTACATGATTTTCCTGAAATTTATCATGAATATATGCTTAATGCTCTATTTGTTTCGATCTAGTCTCTTCATCTTGCATGCGGCAGATATACGATGTGTGTTTTCAGAACATTAACATCCTAAAATAAAAACGAATGATGCGCCCATTGTTATCTTTGAAGATGAACTAGCATAATATGATACAACCAAAGCACTCGACTATGCACCTCTCATAGTGTCAAGGGAAGGTTAGCATGTCAAGTTGAAGCCTTATGGATAACTATAATTTTTTTTTTTCAAATATGAATTGTGCAAAATAGGGCGAGCGGAAGGAAACGTACATATTTCGTGCAGCAAGCTTCATTGGCGTGAATCGGCTATACCTCGGGTAAAAAAAATTTCTGGAATAAAACGTTCCGTACAGTTCAGCACCATTCCTGGGCTGCGTTCACTTACGGGAAGGTAGCCGAGTAGGGACGCCACGCTCTCCGAAGTGTACAGGATTTGACCGCTCAGTGAGAGTACGAGTAAGAAGCCCTCGAGTGACTGAAAGAGAAGTGCCGAACAATACAGCGCATTAAAACTTGCTGACGGGCTAGTGGGGGGCAAGCTTCGTGGAATAAGAAGACAGTGCAATGGTATCACACGACGATGGATGCATCAACCACTCAACAGTTGGCTAAAGAGCGAATCCTTAGCCTGGAGGTAATGTTTGGGGAGAGGCATGTCGGCAAAAAAATAAAGGCGAATAAAGGCAAGTTGTCATAATAATCACGAAGTTGATTTGCGCTTAAGAATTGTTGGCCTTAGGCTTCGGCTTTCCTTGTTCGGCCATTATTATCACTGAAAAAGCAGTATGATATGTAGGTTTGAGGGCACGCAGAATCACAGGACAATGTAAAATCTGTGTGAAACGATACTGGGAGCTCACATCACATGTGTGACGGTAGAGCATTACTTGACCGAATTGCGATCCTTCAAGTCCGTGCAACTCTTGCACTGTGACTCCTGCTTTGACGTGCGGTCCATTCTACGCCTGCGTGAAGGAGAACACGTGCAGTGGGGACTACGAAATTTTCCCTAGTGTTAGGTCTATGGGTCTATATTAGACTGAACAGCTCTAATTCGCATTCGTTTGCATGTGCAAGTGTATGTGCGCTTTTGGATGGTTATTTTATAAATCATGATTATCACCCAGTACCTTGAGTAGCACGCAAGGTGAATCCTGGGCTAATATACCCAGCTTCTTATTGAAGTGTGCGTCAGATAGGTCAACAAAAGTGCGCGGGATGCAAGATGTATAGACATGAATGCACCTCTCTGATGCACGTAACAGCGAACTTACCTCGAGCATTAGGTGCGTGAACTCTTCGTTTGACAGAAACGAAGGCTTCCAGTTTTCCTGACTTTCTTGCTCCTGGTTTTGTATAGATACATCTGCGTTGTTTAAAGCAAACTGCATAACTCTGAGAGAGCTAAGGTAACGTCGATATCATACACCTCAAGTTTTATTAAGGAAACCCATTGTTTTTAGACAAAGCCGTATAGATACATCTGCGTTGTTCAAAGTAAATGCATAACTCTGGAAGAGCTAAGGTAACGTTCAGATCGTACACTCTTAGAAAACAAAAATGGCAGCATATCCACGGAGTGAATGATGGAGAGTGGGGCGAAGCATTCTTCCGTCCATTCGTTCTTGCTTCCGTCCGTCTATGCGTGCGTCTGTGTGGTGTTGCAAAAGACGGACCGATCCCGCCGATGCCACCGCTGTTGCGAAAGACGGGGACGCCAACACGGTCCCGAAGGCGCCACTGCTTTCAACTCCGCCGGGAAGGTCACCAGCCGTTTGGTAGCGTATGTTTCTCAGCTCGCGACTGCTTCTGCGCAGAGCTGATAAGACGAGCGGACGAGACGACGGTGAGTTAAATAAGGTTTATGTACAGCATATATACAGAGGCGTTACAATTTCGGCACTGGGGCCGACAGAGACTCGAAGAGCCGAGCTCTCCTCTCTAACACATAGGTCAGCTTTTCGCCTAAGACCGCCGATTCACACACATGTCGGCTCTCCGACATGGGGACTCCTCTCTCATAGGACCGCCGATCGAGACGCGCCGCAGGGCTTCTTTTATTTGCACCGGGTCCAACCAAAATGTCCAATCAGAAGCGCCGCTGGTCGTCAGGGCAGATTCCTCCAATGGGGTCGCCGCTGGGCCACGTCAGACCCCCAGACACGAGGACGCCGGCTCGCTGTCACGTGCGCAGCTGACTCACTGCACGTGGGCCAGAGAGGCGCCGCGCGTGTTTACGCCGTTGAGTTGTTCGTGTCAGGCGGACTGCGGGCTGGCCTTGACCCAGATTGCCTTTTTCAGAGGCACGGACGTTTGACGAGGACTCGCTGGCATAACAGCACCCCCGCCGCCAGACAATGCACCGGAAAGACGAGCTGCTTCCACGGGGCTCGGATGTCAGGTGCGCTCGTTCGCCAGGTCCCTTCAGGTTCGCCTCCAGGGCCATGGGGAGAATACAGCTCCAGACTGTTCCGGGAACACATCCCATTTTTGACGACGGATCCCAGCTCCACTGGCTTGTCGCCACAACTTGTCGACCAGCTTCACTCGTCTCTTCTGACCATCTTCGGTTTCAGCACTTGTCGATGGTTCTGCAACTTGCTAAGAACGGTTCGACAACAAACAACACACGACACAAGCAAGTGCCCTCGGTCACCCGACAGAACACCAGACAAAGTATAGTACAACATATACCTATCTACGTGTCTATCGGAATTTTGTTCCCTCTACATCAAGAGGCACATGTGGGACACAAGACTCCTAAAGTAAGAACTTGAATTTTTCACAATTACAACAACGCAACGAATTAGAATACCACATAAAGTTGGCCCCTTGAGATCACTCTGAACGAGAGCGCTCAGCCCAGGTCGTGATGAGGTCAAAATTTTGCCCCGAATCGCCAGCGAGAAACCGAAAGGTTGAGAAGTTACTAGCTGGAACGCACTGCTCAATGCACCTGCAGTAGCGTATACCTTTCCTTTATTTTTTTTTTTTGATAGCGAACGTCAAAGTTGCGCTGTGGAGCAACATGCTCCACTTCAGTAACCGGCCACTTTTAGGCGACGATACCTATGCGGCACCAAGAGCGGCTCACACTTTCGACGTTGCACAGGGGAACAACGATACGGCTTGCTACGGATTGACTCCTCACCGCTTAGCTCGATATCGTGTTCGATCACCCTCGTGTTTCCGGGGCGGTCCGAAAACACGTCTTCAAACTCGGAACCAATCTTTCTCAGGTCCTCTTTCTCAGGTCCTCCTTCACTTAAGCTAGGCTCTAGGTTTATCTGCTCCCGGATTACTTTCGATCCCCCTTCAATTACCTCACTAGAACTCAAAATTTCTGCTTCCTCTTCCTCTGAAGCATTCAACAACAGATTTACGACCGCTTGATGTTGAACGTATGGTTTCATCAAGTTGTAAATTTTGTCCGGCCGCCTTCCTAATTTCACTTCGTAATTTGAATCGCAAGGCTTCGATAATACTGTGGCGGGCCCTTCCCAATCAACCTCAAGCTTGTTCCTTTTGGACGGCTGCAGCAGCATTACCTGATTATCAACTTCAAAAGCGCGCTTCTTCACAGATTTCTCGTAGTGCTCCTTCGACAGCACTTGTGCCGCGTTTTTGTGGCTTTCCACTCGCGCTTCAATTTGGCTTTCCACTAGCGCTTCAATCGAGAGACCCTCACGCTGCTCTCGAATGAGCGTCTCTCGATCAACTCTCGGCAGCTCGCTCCAACTTTCCGCTACAGGCGAGAGCGTTGCAACCCTCTCGCTCTGACTCAATGGCGCCATGTCGTCTCCCTTTTCTACGGAAACCGCGCCGGTCGGTTCGGCGACGGGCCGCTCGCGTGACTGCTCACATGACTCATGCGGAAACTTTCCTTTCTGGGGTTCCGTCGACCCGCCGACAAGGTCACTTGAGAGTTCACCGCATTGAACCAGATCAAGCTGCCGCGATAGCTTCCGCGCTTGCGATCGCGTGAGAGCCATGCACGCTAAGTTGGGGAAGAACGATTTGCCCTGCTCTTTGAGAAGCTGCTCTGAGTTGTTGGAGAAAAGATAAGGAAAACGATCATTTAGCGCGGCAGACACAGCCGCTTCGGTGCGAAGCTCACCGAACGGGCCTTCAATGACAACCGTGGCGATTGGTAAGCGCACACTCTGCTCCTCGGCGACTTGCCTGATCCACGCGCATTCTCCTGTGAAGTCATCCGGAGACACCAATGAAGGATGGACAACGTCCATGGTTGCCGCTGAGTCTCTAAGTGCTCGGCACGTTTTCTCATTGACCCTAATTTCTTGGAGATACGGCTCCAACAACCGAATGTTTTTTTCTGATTCTCGGATCGTTGCGAAGGCAAACTTTTCCTGACAGTTTCTAGCGATGTGCCCTTCCTTTTTACAGTTGTAGCAGATTAGCGGCTTCCGTTTGTTTTCCGATTCAAATGCCTGTGTGGTAGAAACCTCACTCGATTTCTCCGCTTCTGTTTGCCCTTCCCCCACCCTGTCCTTCGCAAGAGACGGGTCCTTCTTGAAATTACGGTGCGGAGCGGGTTTCCGTTGATCAGGTTTCTTTGAAAAGCCCTCTTTTCTCTCATCCTTTTCAACGCGCACTGCCCTGCTGTGCAACTTTCGGCGAGTATAATACTCCTCAGCTAACTCTGCTGCCTTGTTTAGCTGTACTTCCCCAAGTCTGTCCTGCAGCCAAAGTCTGACATTATCCTCGATGCAGCGGTAGAATTGCTCCAATGCAACGCATTCCACAACTTTATCGCGATCGTCATAAACACCTTCGCCCTTGAGCCATTCAATTAAATCGGCTTTAAGACGAAACGCGAAGTCAACGTGTGACTCATTCCCCTTTTCAGCATACCGGAACCTTTGCCTGAAAGCCTCGGGTGACAACTTATAACGTCTCAAGAGCACTTCCTTAACCTCGTCATAGCTCTCAAACGCTTCCCTCGACAAGCAAGTTATCGCGTCGGACACTTCACCGGGAAGAAGAGCTAGCAGGTTCCGCGCCCAAAGAGGCCGCTCCAAAGCGTTTCGCTCACAGACGTGTTCAAACTTGACGAGATACTTCGCCATGTCCTCGCCTACTACGAACGGTGGCAGTTGGTCCCGAATTCTAAAACCGCTGACCTGAGCTGTTGGAGAAGCTACGCTAGGCGCCTGCGAACACTGTAGGATTGCCAATTCTAGTCGTTTCAACTCGAGACGCTCCTGTCTCTCGGCCTCCTCGCGACGTTCGCGCCTTTCAGCTTCTTCACGTTCGCGAGCTTCGCGCCTTTCAGCTTCTTCGCGAGCTTCGCGCCTTTCAGCTTCTTCACGTTCGCGAGCTTCGCGCCTTTCAGCTTCTTCGCGAGCTTCGCGCCTTTCAGCTTCTTCGCGAGCTTCTACTTCTCGCCTTTCAGCCTCCTCACGGCGTGCTTTAATATCCACCCAGGCCTCATCGACTTCCTCAGCCGACACTCCCTCATCCTTCATGATCTCAAGGATCGCTTGCTTTCGTTTCGCACGGCCCAAAGTAATGCCGAGTTCCTCACAAATTTCGATGAGTTCCTTCACTTTAAGGTTCTCCATCGTTCACACTAGCCTCTTGCTGTTTGCCCCTGTTAACAATTTACTTGCCGTACCCACTATAAGTCAACTAGCAAGACGCGCAAGCAATTTTTCACTCTCCCGTGTTTACCCCCTCCGCATTAACTTTGGTTTCAAAGCACTTCGACTTTGCTTGAAACGATCAAAGCTCACTCTAATGCTTCACACAGCCCTTCTCTAAACTACTACAACCTGAGCTAGAGTAGTCTGGTGAACTGAGGGGAAAACATCAGGCACTCACCGCATCGATGTCGCTGACGCCGGCCGATCCCGCAGCTGCCAACCACTGTTGCAAAAGACGGACCGATCCCACCGCTGCCACCACTGTTGCAAAAGACGGACCGATCCCGCCGATGCCACCGCTGTTGCGAAAGACGGGGACGCCAACACGGTCCCGAAGGCGCCACTGCTTTCAACTCCGCCGGGAAGGTCACCAGCCGTTTGGTAGCGTATGTTTCTCAGCTCGCGACTGCTTCTGCGCAGAGCTGATAAGACGAGCGGACGAGACGACGGTGAGTTAAATAAGGTTTATGTACAGCATATATACAGAGGCGTTACAATTTCGGCACTGGGGCCGACAGAGACTCGAAGAGCCGAGCTCTCCTCTCTAACACATAGGTCAGCTTTTCGCCTAAGACCGCCGATTCACACACATGTCGGCTCTCCGACATGGGGACTCCTCTCTCATAGGACCGCCGATCGAGACGCGCCGCAGGGCTTCTTTTATTTGCACCGGGTCCAACCAAAATGTCCAATCAGAAGCGCCGCTGGTCGTCAGGGCAGATTCCTCCAATGGGGTCGCCGCTGGGCCACGTCAGACCCCCAGACACGAGGACGCCGGCTCGCTGTCACGTGCGCAGCTGACTCACTGCACGTGGGCCAGAGAGGCGCCGCGCGTGTTTACGCCGTTGAGTTGTTCGTGTCAGGCGGACTGCGGGCAGGCCTTGACCCAGATTGCCTTTTTCAGAGGCACGGACGTTTGACGAGGACTCGCTGGCATAACAGTGGCCACCCGTGCGTCCATCTGCCCATCCGTGCGTGCGTCTGTTCGTGCGTCCGTCCCTGCGTTCGTCCATGCATCCGCCCCTGCGTCCGTTCATGAGTCCATCCATGCTGTGTGTCCGTTCGTCCATCTATTCAACACTCCAAGTACCACCATCTCGCATCTTTTCATCATATATTCCCCATATAGAAGCACCGCCATTCAGCGGACATTCCAAGGACTAAACGAGAGGTGGCACACACACACACTTTCTTACGGCTTGCGCTTGGTGTCTACTTCCCACCTTTAACCACCTCGAGTTCATGGTATATACTAGTTCACTGTATTCATGGCACTGCGGCCCAACTCTCGCTAAACCTTTCTCAAACCAAGGAGGTTACGCCCAGCGAGTATAACGTAGCAACCTTTTGCTGTCTCTACCACTGAGCCACGCCGGTGCTTGGTACTTGTTGGCAAACTTGCCTGAGGCAGGCTTGATGTCAGGAAAACAATCACGTTAATACGACTTATAAGGCGTTTTAGAACAGCAAAACAACAACTAGTCGTCGCACAATGCGAATAACTTAACGACTGGGTCGTCCAACGCTCTCGTCCAATTACACAAGTTTGTTCTTGTTCAGCTATAACTGTGGCGCATACCCACTTCAGGCACAATTCCTCATCGTCGTCAGCCACTGCATGAACAATTAGCACAAAATTCCTCACAACTGCTTAGCGGATACCACCCTTTTCAGAAGAGGACGAGAAATAGCATAGCGAATGACGGCTTACTACCCTAAAATTTTTATTATTAAGGCTGTAGTGGGCATCAATCAAGTGTGCTTGCAGCAGTTACCCAATGAGTGTTAAAGGGGCTCGGCGACTCTTTTCGAGCATGGTCAGAAAACGCTGGCGATCGGTAGGAGGGGCTCCTGACAACACGCGAGTCAAATATTATAGCGCAGTACGTACCCTAGAATTCACAATAAATTATCAAAGTCAGCTAATAATTGCTTTCTCTTCTCTCGACAAATCACGGAATACACCCAAAAATCACACGTTGCAAGCCCATCTATCAGACGTTGGCTGATTTAAACATAGGCGCGCTCGCTCGTTACAGAGATCGCCGCAGGAGGTCCCTACTTGCCCACGCGCGCGCGCGCGATCACACTGATAAAGTTGCGCATTCGAAAAGGAAAAGGAAAAAGTGCTCAAGGCCACGAGGCGTGCGTGAAGTTTTTCTGTGGCCCTGCCATCCCTCCCTTCTTAGCTTCCAGCGCTTTCGTCGGGACGAGAGAAGAGAGAATGCAATTGCAGCATGTGACAAACCTTTGTAACCCCACTCGCACTGGACGGATTCCTAATATTTTTGCGGCGTTGAATTTGTGACGCAACAGGTTCTTCCAGTGAATTCATTCTACCGTCACTTGAAAAAGTGTTTCAGGACCCGTTTAAGAAAAGGCTCTGAAAGGCAACTCTTCTAGCTTTCACTGTGACTGTGCTGCGCCTTCCGTGCAGGCCTGGCGTTTTCTTTTTCTCATAAAAAGAGAGCTCGCGAAAGGCATTGTAACATAAAAACATTGGGGTGCCAGTGCGAGAAAATAAAAAGACACATATTTCAAGGTTTAAGAGTGCTTACTACGAAACAAAAAAAACATATATGCGGCGCCACACAGACAGAACAGAAAAGGGCGTAACCAGCATTTAAGAGGGCGTGTACCAACCAGTTCAACAACATGTATTTCTAATTTAAATACAGCGTATATGCGCACTCTTTTATATGTGATCACGTGGGACTCACCGTTGTGGGCTCTGAGAAAAGCGATGGTGGCACGAAGCACAGTGGATTTGTCCATTTTCCTCGAACTCGTGGACACCATGGAGCAGAGCTCGTTGATGAGCATGTTGAACTGGTCGCGCCTTTTCTTTTCGCTCAAGTTTCGCGACTTCCTGCGCACAAGCAGAGGTCCCCCCACAGGAGAGGCGTTGCTCATATCTGCTCGTCCATTGGTGCCATACTCACCTCTTCGTTTCGTCTTTCTCATCCAGGTCGCTCTCATCCGCTGCCCTACAAGACCACCACGGAGCCGACATAAGGTTCGTCCACGAAGTAAGGATTCAATTGTAGTCGAGTCTGCCACGCACTTATGCTTGGAACTAACATTTAGCATGGCATGGGATGTGAGATAGCCTCTCGAATTTCGCGACAGAAAGGCACAGATTATTTCACGAATATTATTGAAACAAAACGTATGTATTATTTTTTTTGAAGCATAATAATAGGTGCAACCTGACCATGCATATCGCAGCATACTTTCGGAATGAATGTCTTGGAAGCGATATCACACTGAACAATAATTGCAAGTGGGGGCACTGGGTGATCTCACCGACTATAATTCCCAAATTTTAGTACGTGACATGAAGCTGTCATGAAAAACTTATCTTTGCTAGCACATCGACTGCAAATAATTTGTTTGAGCAGTTCAGCTGAAGTACCAGAATTATGTTACATAACCCAGGCGTCTTTTTTTAACAGGTTTCTGTATATAGGAAAATAAATATCGCTATATATTAAGATTGCATTGTCCTGCTGGAATCGGCGTTAATGACTACAATAAAAGACACGCTTTTATGCAAAAAACCAATAACATGCATTGTCAATGGTTCGTACCATAACATCCCCCACGCCCCGATAACGCAGGATCTTTGAGCAAGCGTGCTCTGCGAGCTGCATGCTTCATTTCGTGTTGTAGTTGCTTTTGGTTTCGTGCAAAACAGTGCATTTATCTAGCCCATCTAATGACCACCTGACCCAATTTTAGCTCTGTTACTGTAGTTGCCTTGCTGCGAAATGTCAATGATGTTGAGCCGGACATCAAATGTAACAAACTGCTTCAGCTGATCCTGGTACCTTCTGCTCGGAATCCTGAAGTCGACCGGACTTCACAAACGTTTGTGAAGTATTCACGAGAGTTTTTTTTTTGTTGTTGTTAACTCTAAATCACAATACGTCATTTATCGGACTCCTCTCACATTTATTACTTCCCCTTTCCTCTCCTCGCGTGCAGGGCATCCGACCGAGCACATGTCTATTTAACCTCCCCGGATTTCCACTTCGCTTCTATCTCTCTCTCTCTTCGTATCCTGAGGCACTACGCTTCACCTTCGAAAGGGAGGATACTAAACAAGAAGGAAATAGGAAGAAAAATTTGGCCACGTATCTGCATGTAATCTGCAAATGTCGTCGAAAGACGGTAGTCTTGCATGTGGAGAGAGTGAACAAAACATTAATTTGATGTTCTGCGCAAGAAAATCGGTGAATGTTATTCCGGAGGCGCTGCGTTAGAGTGCCTCGAGCGTGCAGCGGAGGCGAACGAGCGCATCAAGTCACGTCACACGTGAGACATGAGCGCCATCTGGTACTTTCTTTTGGAAAACAAAGCGCGTGGCCATGCGCGCCCGTCTCAGAGGTGATAAGGTGTAGAACGCAAGGTGATGGGTAGGTGCCACCACCATCTCGTCCTAGCAAAGCGTTGGAAACACTCCCCGTTCCGTGCAAGCGTTGCATGGTAAGCGCAGCATGATAAGCGCTACGGTCCTTAAAATTACTTATGTATGCGGTTTCTAGTAAGAGATGCATATGCAGAATATATGCGTGCTTTTGTGGTGCCCCAAACATGCGCAATTACTGCTTTTTAATTGACAATCGCACAAGCATGAACGCTCAACCTTGAGCAACATTGGTGGTTGCTGCGAATGGGGTCGGCCGTTTCAAGTAGCCGATGCCGGTAAGAGTGGACAAACAGACAAATGTACAGGCGAATAGACAGACAGACCAAAATTTTTGCGTCGAAGGTCCTCTTTCTTTAAAAAATGTGGCAGCTTAGTTGTCAAGCTTGAAGGAATAACATACTAACCTCGCAATCAGCAAACCTTCCTCAGCGTACCAACCAAGCCTAGCGTATATACAGCCAGTTTTAGCCTATTCCCAATGCCCATGGTCTATAGGTGGCACGCCGTGCAATCCAAGATGGCTGCGGAAGGATGATCAACCCGTGAATCGCATAAGAAAAGATCAAACAAACGGACGTACTCCCCATGCCGCTTTCACCGGATGGACTCTCGATCGTCAAATGAATGTCATATCGAACCAAAGTACTTTCCCAACCGATGGGAACTGCTGAATGTTTGCTGCCTCATTTCTTGCCGCAGTTCAAAGGGTGGTGGTGTCAGCTGATCGACCGTGTATAAACGATGCTTTGCGTAATCTTGTGCGTGGTACATAAAACGGCACGAACTAGAATTCACGTATGAACTGAACGGCACTCCGAGATAATTAGTGCCGAGCCTGTCTGGCGGATTCGCCGCATTAGTAGGCCACTATAGCGAGTAGCATGCCGTCGTGGCTGCACAGGACCGAATGTTTAACGTGGGGATGTTTTGCAAACATATTACGCCGTCATCATTACTCGCACTGTAAGCATCATGCAGCTTCTTCTTCAACGGAACACAAGCATTTAACTTCCCATTAAGTAGCGCTTTTGTCACAGCCATGATCAGACTAACAGTGCGCAATTCCCTGTGCTCGGATGTTGCAGGTTCCATCAGCTTGATCGAAACAAGGATGTCGACACGCGTATGCTTTCGGCAACGTCAGAATTGCTAAAATTTGTCCAACAGCAACGTCGTTCGGACGGCACCAGCGAAGTACAGGACAAGTTAGCATGGACCGTAGTCGTAACTGCATATTTCATAGTTCTTATTTCGCTTCACTGGTCGAGCTCGAGCATGTTGGCGGCATGCGGCGCGTTGTAATATCCACTGTAATAGGGATACATTCAATGCACGTGAAAAAGTATGCTTTTACTTTGAGCTCACTGAAGGGTATTATGAGTGGGCACGGGAGAGCAGCTACGATGCATTCGCCTTTCAACGCACCGCCCTTCTTTGTGCAGTTTTTCCTGTTCGGCGCATGGAATCCTATCTTGGGTGACGCAGCTGTGCTTCCAGCGTCTGCTGCTCCGTTCGTCGTGGAAACAAGTACCGCACAGGATCGGCTTTACTTTCAACCTTGGCTGCAGACGGTGACTACCCCAGTAACCAGCCCAGCAGCACCATCGTCGTGGACATCACCTAATCGGGCCGACTTAAACGACTGGCATCGCCTGTCGTCCTTCAGTGGGCACGGGAGAGCAGCTACGATGCGTTCGCCTTTCAACGCACCGCGCTTCTTTGTGCTGGTTGGTACCGCCCCATCTATACACTGTAAGCGCTCTAATAACGCATTTTTGCTGCTGCTCCCGTGCCCAAGTGTACTTCATGAAATTTCGTGTGACTGTATTTTTGTTTGTAAGTTGCTCTTTCTCTGTGGGGACGTCGAGCCTAAACCCCGGGCCCAATCGTGTTGATTCTACCTCACAGCACAATGAATTGCTTGCCGCTATTGCTGCCCTCTCTTCCAAACACGACCACCGTCATGAGGAGGTAATGGAGGCATTTGCCGATCTGAAGAAAACTCAAGCAGCACTCGCGGCAAAGGTATCAGACCTTGCGGCCAGGCTAGAAACCGTTGAATCTATCGTTGAAAACCTAGATGTAGTGCCAGCTGCAACCGAAATCCAACGGACTGTTTCAGAGGCAGTTAATGCGCAGAGCGCCGAGTTTACCTCTCGCCTGAATGAACTAGAGGACAGATCGCGGAGAGATAACCTCATTTTTTATGGAATCCCCTACAATTCATCTCAGACCTGGGCGGAATCTGAGGGTCACATCCGGGATATTTGCTCGCGTTTTCTTGAATTTGAACTACCCGAAGGAGCGATTTCCAGGGCTCATAGGTTAGGCTCTTTTGCGGCGAGTAAGACTCGCCCAATAATAACCAAATTCTAGTCTTTTAAAACAAAGGACCACATCCTGTCACTAAAAAGCAAGCTAAAAAAATACAGATTTTTCCTTGAGTGAGGACTTCTGCCAAGCTACTCGGCATTGCAGGAAAAAGCTTATCGAATTCGGAAAAGCAAACGGGCAATGTTTTTCGCTGCAATACAACAAACTTGTGATGAATAAGAAGCAATATGGATACTGCGCAATAACTAACAGCGTTCACGCGCTTGATAGCTCCCGTCAGACAGGCGTACCTCGTGGTACACAGCCTCCTGATAGTGGCGGCGCTACCGCGAGCAGTCCCTCTCCAGAATCATCCTAGCAATCTCTTCCCAAATGCAATCTAAGCAATGTATCGTTTCTTTTCACCAACATTCGAAGCGTCATGAATAAGCGTGCCACCCTCTCTTCAGCCATCGATTCTTGCTCAGCCGATATTATCGTATTAACAGAAACGTGGCTCTCAGCAAAAATAAAAAGTAGCGAAATATTTTACTGCGATAAGGCGTACAGAACATATCGTTATGACCGTGACGTCCGTATTGGTGGGGGCGTGCTCCTTGCTGTCAATGAAGCGTTTAATTCCTCTGTGGTTCCGATCAGGTCATCCTTAGTATGTGTGCGAATCATTTTTTCCTGTCGTGACTATATTTTGTGTGCATGTTATCGATCCCCAGCTCCTTCCCCCTCCTTTGTTCTGAACTTCATGATGTTCTGAATCTGCTGATTGTACGCTATCCCGATTCCCCATTGATCCTTATGGGTGATTTCAATTTTCCCGGTATTGTATGGCGTGCAGACTCCGTTAGCGTAAAACAAAACTTACCAGAAAATATAGAATTTTTGAATTTGTGTACGGACTTTAACCTCACTCAGCTTGTTCTTGAGCCCACACGGTCAACATCAACCTGTTCTAACACTCTAGACCTCGTACTTACAACTTCACCTGATCTCGTTTCTTCGATAACTTATCTCGATGGACTAAGTGATCACATGTTACTACATTTCACCGCTCAAGCTCACCGCCCCTCGAGATCTAAGGTTTTCAAAATTATTAGGGATTATTCGCGTGCCAACACGGCACTAATTACAGCAGAAACGGAACGTTTTACCGAGGAATTCATAACTAACTATGAATAACGATCTGTCAATGATAACTGGTTGCTTTTCAAAAACAAATTATTATCTTTGCTCAACGAACATGTACCCAC